GTTTGGATTCCGGCGGGGATTCCTGATCCAACTATGGGCTACGACACACACTTATTCTGCGTTTATAAATTTTAATGCACCCACTTTTTATTGAACATTTGGTTGCTTTCACAAACGTTCTTTGTAAGCAGGGCACCTCGGGGCAAGCGATCCTCTTGCATACATCTAAGCACTGAGTTCCACGGGTAGGCTCTTGTTAAAAGACAAGAGGATGAAGGGTGGTAAGAACGAAATCTAAGAAGCTGGGCTTTTGTCGTTTTCGTATGAACAGACTTATTAACCACTTTTTATCCTTTCTTTGTGCAAGAAACCTTTAGTCTAAACAAATAGGGTTTGTTTACATTCTTTTTCACATAAACAAAAAGGAAGACCTTACTGGTTGATGAATTGGGCGTCTTTAAATTACACAGAAAGTCATACATTTTGCCTTCTTGTTGCATACCAGAAACTAACAAGCATGGAGCAAACCTACATATATTTTAAATATCGTCATGGATAATGACACAGGACAGTGACAATTTTGATTGAAGTGCCTAAATACAGTTTTTCCGTATCCGATCGGTGAGCGTTTATTCACCAATGTCAGAATTCCCGATCTTAACCGACAACTTTACGAACACGTGTCTCAATTGTTGGGTATTTAAGTCCTGTTCAACAGCTTACGAATACAAACCTCACGTGATTCAAAACCTAAAATGGGGTAGATCTGTCTGATGACGGTTAATAATCCACAAATGATCATTCTAGTCTCCCTTAGCCTTGGCGGTATTTTTCATTCATCTATAAAGCTATCCGCTCTGCAGCTACTGGCGGGGTTGAGAGTGAGTCTCAATATAGAATGTAAGAGTGGGTCCCGTAACTGATTGGTGTACCTTCCTCCAGCGAATTCAGACTTGTCGGGAACGAACCACAGACCCATAGTTAATATTCATTTTAAAGGATTAGTTGGTTTCAAATTCGTTTAAATGGATGCCGAACATCGCTTGTGGCGGACGGGAGGATCCCAAATGACAGTTAAGTAGTATAATTGAATACCTATCAAACTTAGTACATTGTCTAGCGAAGGAAAGGTTAAGCCCGTTTAGCCAGCAATTTACTAGTTTGTAGGACTTCAAAAATTATGGTGATTCCTCACTGGGCTGCAATTTGTCTGTTTCAATCTTCTATATGCTCCCCTGGACTAGTGGCTGTTACAAAATTTCCAGGACACATTACGTTTTACGTTTTGTAGATTTGTAAGGAGTACATTCCCGAGTTCGGACGCAACAGAGGGCAACAGACATTTGTTTTAGGCAACGTTGTGTGCAATGGATTCATCGACTAGTATAATATACTGAAAGCAGCAAAATATTTATACAAAGAGTTGAGTTGTAGCGATGCATATAAGAAAGTTAATAAGGCTAGTTGTTGAGATAATATATTACGGGTTTGAAGCCGATTTTCCCACCATCAGCTTCCGTAAAAAAGTCATGTTTATAACTTTCAGAGCGAACAGTTGCCTGTTTTTTGAAAAAGCAGTTGCTTTACACATCCTCTCAACCTAGACACCAGCAGAAAACATGAGCGTAACCACCAAAATTGCCACTAGTAACGCTGCAGACATACTGATAAGACAGGATCCTATCACTTGTAGCTCGCCACAGAAACTCGGCGAAAAATACAGTCTTGGCATTGTGTTCTCTGTTTGGTAGAGGAAAAATCAAATGAATATCTCTCATCAGTAAAGTAATTCTGCAATTTAGGAAAAATGGTTCGTGAGATTTAAACTCTTATAAAAATGGACCTTATCAATCAAAGGTGAAATTCTGTCATGCTAGTTCTACAGCTGACTTCCGGGATAATCATTTTAACTGAATCACATGCTTGGTTTTCAAAGTTTAAATTAAACAATCTCTTTGGACTAGGTTTTCAGAACAGTCTCTACCCATTTAGATTAAGAGTTCATATGCACATCTGATAACTGTTGTCGAATAGATTTTACTGGCAGGGGCAGCCACAAAAATATATCTCTTGTTTCAATACATGAATCCCTCGTAATAACTCTTCATATGGAATATTTTATATGACTTTTATACTTCAACTGAATATTCTGTTTCTCGCCAAATTTGAGATTTGTGGAAAAAGGAACCTCCGGAGATAAGTGGAAAATTTCAGTGCACGACGAAAATTCCGAAGACACACTTCAGGTAAAGATTTTGTTAAGTGCTCTCGAAACGTACTCGTTTATCCGTATAATGGCCAAATCAGACGCATCTCTCCGCCAAAGACTATGTTTCATTCCATAAGAGCTCTTTGCAAAAAAGTTGCATTAAGAAAAAAATTATTGGACTTATCTTCCAAGTGATTGATTGCCTACCTTTGTTGTCAATGCTCAGTTTCTTGTGTGTCTCTATACCACCAAAGAAGTTGTCCAAGTTACTAGGGAGGAAGGTTCCGCACGTCATCTCCTCAAAGAGTTTAGTCAGCATAGCGGCATCAAGCTGATTCAGGGGTTTGTCCACTGGCTGTGTGGTTATGATCGAGGCAACTGCAGGGGTTGTTTCAGTGCCTGCATTCTCTGCTGGCTTGGAAACCTGCAAAACATAGAAAGCTAGAGGTAGCTCAACTTTGCAGGTAATCATGACGCCCCTTAAAAATGTATAAAACGCCTACTTGTGAAATCTACGGCATGAGCGGTTGCTGCATGCAAAAAGGAGAAAGCATATAGTGCTGCTTTGCTGATCGGAGTTTAAGGTTGGGGCATTTTAGTAGACCTAAACGTGGGCGTTGTTAAACTACATAGAAATTTGCATGTCAAACTTTTGCCTTTACTTCAGCGTGGGATACAATCTACGCAATGAAGTCTAGCTATGAGCCTCCTACCACCCACTTATCCACCCACATTCTGCGCCTTTTAGGCGTGAATAAAAATGGGCATTCCTACGGGCGGCTAGAAGTAGCATATACCACCGAGGTTTCACCTACCTGTTGGGAAATTACGTGCAAACCTAGGTAAGCCCTTGGGAGGACAATGCGAAGAAATCACTCAATAGATCACTTGTTATGAAAAACAAAGTCCCAAGTCTTAAACCCTTTGATTCGTCTCCCGCACCGCAGACCACTATTTTGGGATTATTGAAACAGCATAATATGGACGTTTGAGTTGCTCACAACGTATTGCGAGTTCTTGGGTTACTTTTCACAGAAAAGAACGCTGCCATCCGGAAGTGTCGTTCCAGAATGTTTATCGCGTTAGTGTGTTTGATTATCTGTGAAATTGAGGTATCTACCCTGAAGCACACCGGGATGTTAGGGGATCCAATGATGAACAGAGCTGTTCGCAGCTGTATCATGTAGTTTCCGAATTTAGGCAAAACACGCGTCTGGGCTTTTAGCTACCATTAGCTGTGGTGGGTTATCCTATTATATGTGAGGACATGGTAATGTTGAGTGGAACGTATTTTTATTCATCTGAGAAACCATCAGTTGCAAAATGAGCAGCTGCCGGGTTAAGCAACGTTCGCCGTTTAATGGGGTCCAGTAAGATGTCCTTCGTCCGGTACTCAGTCACAACTGAAGTGAGTAATAAGAGACCCACAAAACCTGAATTTTACAGGTACCAGTTGAAGTTTCTACATATCTAATGATTCACCATTAAGAGTGACACGGGTAACCATTTTATCTGTCTTAAAGTGTTTGAACA